ACACCGACTGTCCTGGAGGCACCAGGGCACGATCATTTGCCCTGACACTGTTTGGTGGGGAAACGATGGGCTGGAGGCATCCATCGGTGTCTCTGGCCACACTGAGCTCACTTCACTCACGGCTGGCTGAGGTCATCCACTGGAAAGCTGCCTGTGATTGATGATGGAGAGCCTCAAGTTGACCCGTTTCCCCGGGTCAGGAAAGAAAGCCAACAAGTGTCACCTTCTACACCAACTCCCGTGGATTGGAAGCGGCTGCCTGCCTCACTGGATGAAGAAGGAATCCTGGCTCCATAGTATATACGGCTCGACGGGGAAAGGAGTGCATTACCGTCTGGTGAAACCTCAGAAGACATGGGACATGGTGATGGGACCACGTGGACGAAGAGCGTTCTAGTCTTACAACGGATCCTGAATACTGCATGCTCTTTGATAGTTGACCAAGCGGTGCAGCAAGCCAAGGGAGACAAGGCATCTTCAAGCATTTGACTTAGTGGAAGCATGGTGAAATTAATTGAGAGTGCGTAACAAATTGATCTGATTTTATGATAGTCAAACCCTCCCCATCCTTCACCTTATCTGACCAGTCAGGCCTAAGGGCTGATAACCTTATTCCTATGGTAGTGATCTGTTACCCAGGTGGAGGTAGCATATGATCATGTACCATTGGCATGTAAAAAAAAGGTGCCGAAGCTTTACTGAAGGCCTAGTGAAACACTAGGCCCCAGGAATTCAAGAAACACCAGCTGAGATGTTACAAGTGTACCAATGCAGTACTAGAAGCACCCATTCATCTATGCCAAGAAATGTGTGAGACTTGGCCACCTGCCTGGAGGAGGTTCATAATTAAGCCGACCCCAGGGAAGAGTGATCCAGTAGTACATGGAAATTATCAAGCAATATCATCAGTATCACACACAAGCAAACCCCGGTTGAAGATCATTGCAAAATGGTTGCCACCGTACATGAACATGGAACTGCCAGAAATTCAAGCCCAATTCAGCTGAGGGCAGGGAAGGAGGGATGTCATTGCTGATGTCAGATGCATCCTGACGAAAAGCTGACAATACAAGAAAAAGGTGTACCTGTGTTTTAGTGATTAGACGAAGATATGCATCGGTATGAGTGGCATTATGATTATGGATAACATTGCAAAGTATGGGAATTCCAGGACCCTTAACTGTGCTCCCGTGGCACCTGTGCCTAGGCCAAGAGGCAGCCATGTAAATAGAACTATGTGGTCTAAAATCAGGGAAGGGGTGTGTCAGGGTTGTATCCTCTCACCATACTTAACTCGTTCTGTATGCGTAGCAGGGCATCCTAGAATCTAGACTAAATGAAGAACACAGCATGGAGATCAAAGGAATCCCTTTGAACAACCTTTGATATGCAAATGGCACACGTTGGCTGGCTGAAGGCTAAGAAGACTTGAAGAATTTACTCTTCAAGATTAAGGACTGCAGCCTTCAGTGCAAATACACGGCAACATGGAGAAAACAAAAAGCCTTACAAATGAGCCCATAAGCAACAGGATAGTGAACAGGAACTGTGGGCGTTGTCAAGGATTTGGGTGACCTTGGATCCACAAGGAAAGCTCGTGGATGTATTGCGTTGGATAGATCTCTTGCTGCAGACCTCTTTACAGTGTTGGCAAAGAAAGAAGCACACCAGCCTGTGCGACCACGAGGTGTCGAAGGGATCAGGTGTAAGGCATCATCAGAACAAAAAATCTTACCATAGTGAATGATCGGGGGAGTGCGGAGTGGAGATCCAAAGCCCATTAGTAGGCCACTGGAGATCCCCTTGCAGAGGGGTCTCGGGGAGGAGATGAGCCAGTCAGGGTGCGATGTAACAATGATGAGAAATACAACTTTCCTCTAGTTCCTAAATGTTTCCTCCCCGCTCCCACTACCATGACTCGAATTCTATCTTGCAAGTCTGGCTAGACCAGAGGATGTACACTGGTACAGATAGGAACTGAAAATACAGGGAATCCAGGACGGATGAGCCCTACAGGACCAGTGGTGTGAGTGGCAAAACAGGGAGGGTAAAGGGAGAATGGGTAGGAAAGAGGGAACCGATTACATGGAACTGTGTGTGACCTCCTCCCTGGGGGACAGACAACCGAAAAGTGGGTGAAGGGAGACGTCAGACAGGGCAAGATATGACAAAATACCCATTTATAAACTATCAAGGGCTCATGTGGGAGGCGGGAGCGGGGAGGGAGGGGAAAAATGAGGACCTAATGTTGGGGGTTTAAGTGGAGAGAAAATGTTTTGAGAAATGATGTACAAATGCGCTTTACACAATTGATGTGTGTATGGATTGGGATCACAGTTGTATGAGCCCCTAATAAAATGTTAAAAAAAAAAAAGAAAAATGTCTCTTTAAGAACCAATGTGCCCATGCTCCAAGCCATGGAACTTTCAATTGCCTCAGATGCACCAGAGAGCTGGATAACAAGCCCCCGGAGAAAAACGAGGGAATCTGGTGTTGGAAAAGACGAATCACTATACCACGGGCTGCCAGACCCATGGCCCAGGCTGTCTTCCCAGAGTAGTTATAACCTGAAAGCTCCTTAGAAGCAAGGATGGCAAGACTTCGTCTCGAGGACTTCGGGCTTGTTGTCAGGAGGGACCAGTCCCCAAAGAAGGACACCATGCTCAGTAAAGAAGAGGGTCGTTGAAAAAAGGAAGACTCCCAACATGATGGACTGATACAGTGGCTGCAACCAGGGACTCAAGCCTGGCAATGACGGTGACGGTGACGGTGGCGCGGGACCGGTAGTAATTCGGGCATCGTTCGCTGTGTGTCGGAACTGACTGGTGGTGCCTAGTAACGACTGCATTATCACGAAGGTCGCAAGGGTTCAGAAGGGCTGGGCGCTGTTTCACAGGAGAGTGGGGAGTAATGACAAGGGATGGCTGGTTCAGGTCTCTGTGTGCCTGTTGGGATGGCCACGCCCGCGTCAAGGCCCGCAGGCGAGTTTGCGTGCTTCTGCTCTCCCATGTTTCCATCGGTAACCGTGATCCTGCACTTTTTGTAAATGGTGTTGTCAGTTAGAAGGTACGTAATGATGCATTTGCTGTTTTAACCATTTTCAGTGTGCAATCAAGTGGCATTAGTTGCATTTACCTTGCTGTGCAAACATCACCACTATCCAGTTCCAAAAATTTTTCATCACCCTGAACAGAAACTCGGGGCTCCTTACATCCTAACACCTTTTCACGCCTCTCCCAAACACAAATAAACTTTGTTTTCTCTCTCGGTTCCTTATTTTATCTGCCGGCGACCATCTAACATAAGCCTCTTTGTGCCTGATTTATCTCACTCGGTATACTACTTTCATGACACACCCTGTTGGCATAGTGCTACATGCTGGACTGCTAACTGCACAGTCAGCAGTTTTCAACCACCAGCAGCTCATGGGAGAAAGACACGACTTTCTATTCTCACAAAGAGTTACAATCTTGGAAGCTCACGGACGCAGTTCTGCCCTGTCCTATCGGGTCACTATGAGTTGGAATCAACTCAACAGCAGTGAGATGTTTGCAAAGCTCGTCCGTGCTGTGGCTTGTACTGGAGCATGGCTTTCTCTGTGCCTGAGTCGTGTGGCACGTGTGGTTACACCACATGTGGTTTCCCACTCCATCCGTCACTTGGTGTACGTCCAGCGTTTGTTCCTTGGACAGGGAGCGTGCACCCAAGGTCCTGCTTTCAGCTCTCTTGGGTATGGCGTTAGGGGCAGAAGTAGAATCACTTGGTCAGACGGTAAATAGATGTTTCACTTTCGGAAGAACCACGAGCAGCTTCACTGTGCTCCATTCCTACAAGCAATGGATTAGGGTTCCGTTTTTTCTACAGTCTCTCAATACTTGACCTTTTTCTCATAATAACCACACTGGTAGGGTAGAAGTGGTGGCTCACTGTGGTTTTGATTTACATTTCTATAGGGACTAGTGATGCTGAGCGTCTTCTCACGGCCATATTGGCTATTTCTATATCATCGTTGGGAAAATGTCTACTCAAGGCCTTGGCTCATATTTAAGATTGGGCTTTTTGACTTTTTGTTTTTGAGTTGTAAGAATTCTTTATACATTCTGAAGAGTAAACCCTTATCAGAGATGTGATTACATACTGTATTCTCTCACTCTGCAGGTTAGAACTTCATTTTCATGATCAAGTCTGGTGAAGCATAAAAAATCTTTAATTTTGTGGAAGTTTAATGTATCTGTTTTGTCTTTGTTGCTTGTACTTTTAATGTTGTATGCTCTGGGGATGGATGATGGATAAGTGGAAGGAATGGATAGATGTATGGATGAGTGGATGCATGGATGGATGGATGCGTCTATGGATTGATGGATGAATGTGTCTACGGTTGGCTGCATGGATGGATGAGTGAAAGGACAGATGGATGGATGGGTAGGTTGGGGGTGGGTAGATGGATGCATGAATAGATTAGATAGATAGATAGATAGATAGATAGATAGATAGATAGATAGATAGATAGATAGACAGACAGACAGACAGACGGGTGAGATAGACATAAATATATCCACTTCCCTGCTGTTCTCTGAGCTCACAGACATCAGCACTGGGCCTTTTTGCATCTCAGTTTCCCCAAAACCTGACTCACGATCCCACACATAGTAGGCATCCAATAAACACTATTACAATGAAAGCAGCACTTGTCAAAAAGTCAATCCACTCTGGAGTGAAAGCTCATGAAAATAGACAGCATTTCAGCCCAAGGAAAAGATTAAACTGCCACTCGGCTTAACAACAAAGATCTCTTTTTGTTATTTCAGGTCTTGCAAAGTGATAGGCTAGCAGGAGAAGAGGTAACACGTAGAGGAGCTAGGGACACGCTTTCCATTTTAATTTGGAAAGTGATTGGCATGTCACTGCGCTGTCACTGCCCAGTGGGGGAGCGCCCTGACCATCAGCATTCCCCACCGAGACTGGTAACCATCTCCTGCCCTTCCTCCCCACCCCCTTAGGAACCACAGTGATGCGGATGACAGCCTTTGATGCGGATGACCCCGCCACCGACAATGCCCTCCTGCGGTACAATATCCGTCAGCAGACGCCTGACAAGCCTTCACCCAACATGTTCTACATCGATCCTGAGAAAGGAGACATTGTCACCGTTGTGTCACCTGCGCTGCTGGACCGGGAGGTGAGCTGAAAGGAGCACGCTCTCTCTTTCGGGGAAACACATCGTGGTTTCGCACACAAGCCACTGGCTGGGTTCCCGAGTTAACGATGCTTTCACTGGGAATGGCGGCAATGAGATATTTGCTGTGGTTGGGTGGGGGAAGCTAAAAAGGGAGATGGGCTAGTACGTGGATTCAAAAAGCACAGGTTACAAAAGGCAGTGCCATTTGCAATTGCATACATTCACTCAACCAGGTGCCTCTGCTTTCTCACTGATGCCTGAGGCCCTCGTGGTTTCTTCTACTCTCCGCCTGCCTTTCGGTCAGAATGGGAGTGGGAGGCAGGGAGGGAGTGGAGGGAGACCCAGGGTAGAGGGCAGGCGTTCGAAACCAGCCCCTGAGTCTCGTTGACCACATGTGAGTATTCAGGACCAGGCAGCTTGGGTCCAGCCGAGTCCTCTCACATGGACACATCCTCCTGGCGCTGCTGGTCTCAACTGCCGATTCCTCCAGGACAGGGATTTCTTGAGGGATGGTGGCATCTCACCTGTTTGTAACACCATTACCTGGTGTGGTTTCCGGCACCCCTGGAAATCCTCATTATGGGTTGGTTGGCACAGAGGAGGACGACAAGATTGAGTCGGGAAGGATGCTGGTATTTCCACTCGAAAAGCCAAGCAGCAGCAAGGGCTGGGCCGGGATCACCAGGGCAAGAGAGAGCGAAATCTCGCTCTGTGCACTTGTGCGTGTCACGTGGAAAATATGGTTGTTGCTGGTTAAGAACAGGAAAGTGGAAGGGAAAGTCCTGACTCCGATTCCTTCATTCTGCCACCCATTCTCCAACCACTGTGCCATTGGGATGGATACCGTGTTGTCTTCTTCTTTCAGAGCATGGAATGAGTCTCTAGCTTTGTCTGTGTCCCCCAACGAACACATCTGTGCCCAGGTGTGTACACCACACACACACCACCTTCCTGTGTGCCCTAATCCTCCCTGGAAGCACTTGCCAGTTCTTCCTGGGGAAAGATGACATCCCTGAGGGGTACCGCCCCCCCAAAAAATCTGAACTGTGCTGGGCAGAATGGAGCATTCATAGTACGCATTTTTCCCACTAGGTGAGCATTGAGGAACTCACTCTGTGTTAGTGCACCAGTGGCATCACCTGGGAAGGTTCTCTCTGGTCACAGTAAAATTTTTCCATTAAGGCAGTTTCACTCAAATCTCGTTTTTTAATGATGGCCGATTTAAGAGAACAGCATGTGGTTGTGAAATTTTGTTTCCTGCTCAGGAAAAATGCTGCAGAAACTGATGTGATGTTGAACACAGCTTACAAGGATAGTGCTATGGGGAAAATCTCAAGTGTACGAGTGGTTTTCTCATTTCAAAAAAGGTGAAATGTCAATTGATGACAAACCTCATTCTGAATGTCTGTCATCTTCCTGAATGGATGAAAATGTCGATTCGTAGTACATTTGGAGTTCATTCCACCAGGTCAGACTGTTAATCAAGCTTTCTATTTAGAGGTTGTGAAAACATAATGTACCAGTATGTGACAAAAAGGCCGGATTTGTGGCAGACAGGGGACTGGTAGTGCCACCATGATAATTCATCATGCAGCCATCTCAGTGTACCAGGTTTGGGGGCAACCCCCCCCCCCACAAACCAGCATGCCTCTCTTTCCCCATGCACCTTACTCACCTGTCCTCACTCCATGCAACTTCCTTTTTTATCCACGGATGAAGAAGGACATGAAAGGACAGTGATTTGACGATGTAGAAGAGGTAAAGAAAAAAACGAGGGAGATGCTGTCAGCCATCCAAGCAGATGAGTTTGAAAAATGTTTCCAAGAATAGAATTGCAGATTTGACAAAGGTACTAAGTGTTGTGGAGAGTACTTTGAAGGTAGGATGGTTGTTTTGTAAAAAAAAAAAATAATAATAACATAGCTTTGGAAAAAATCCATTTTGGGGGGTTACCCCCTCATATGTGTTTGTTTTTACAAGCAGATGATGTTGTCTGCATCTCTCTCACTACAATCCAGGGTAATCACATAATTGGTCATTTCCATGTTAGGTTTATTTTGCAGGCAAATGTCTTTCCCACGCATGAGATTTCCTTATGGACTTTAGTGAAACTGTATAGAAACTGAATTAATCATTTCTTGACACAATAAAAGGGAGCCCTGATGGTGTAGTGGTTCTGAGTTGGGCTGCGATCCACATGGTCAGCAGTTCAAAGCCACCAGTAGCTTCTTGGGGCGGGGGGGGGGGGGGGGGGGGCTTTCTCCTTCCATGAGCAGTTATAACATAAGTGGTTATGGTCTCAGAAGCCCACAGGGGCTGCTGTGAGTCAGCATTGACTCAACGGCAGTGAGTTTGGTCTTTTGCGCCACAATACATACAGAGCCCTTCTCTTCCCCCTGCCCCTCCCCACAAAAGAGATCAATGGGACTTAACCCTAATTGGAAAATGGATAAAAATGAATGAGCGGCATCACTTCTCTGGAGTTGACAGCATTCAGTGCTGACCCAGGCAGTGTAGGAAAGCTCTGGGTTTAGGCTTTCAAGTTGATTTCTACTCACACAGCGATCCCACAGGCCAGAGCTGAACTATCCCACGGGTTTCCAAGGTTGTAGATTCTTTATTCATAGAAGCACATTCTTGTTCTCCCACTATGCATCTGGGATTTGAACCACCGACCTTGTGGCTCGCAGGTTTGCACAGACCCTGAGTCTGTGTCCTCATGCTGTCTTTTCATTGCGTTTGCCGAAGGAGTAAATGGTGGCTCTAAGTTGCTCACCTTCAGAGGGATGGGATCTGCTTCCCAGATCTCCGGGCCCTGCTTCCGACCGGGCGACATGCGCTTCAACTCTAAGCACCCTTTCCTGTGGCTCTCATGGCTACAAAGGGCCCCTTCCGCAGGGTGGTGGGAGTCTTCCTTCTGGTCCACTGCTGCAGACCTTCTGAGCAGGATCCCTGACCCTCACTGTCTGCCCATGGGGGAACTGCTACAGTAGTCATCTCCGCACACGGGGAGCTCCCTGGCTGTAGTTCGTGACAGGTCATAGATCTAACGTGTTCTCCTGTGGAACCCCCCTCAGTGCTATCAAAAACATGGAAGCAAACAATCAGGTTGAAGAACAGCATCTCTAGTGTTGTTGTTGTTGTTGTTGTTGTTGTCAGGTACTGACTCATGGAGACTCTATGAACAATGAAGAAAACACTAGTCTGTGTGTTTGTCAAACTGTCGTAGCGTGTGTGTTACAGGGATGCTGGAAGCTATGCCACTGGTCTTTCAAGTGCCGGCAGGGTCGCCCACAGTGAACAGCTTTCAGCAGCGCCTCAAGACTAAGAACAGACAACAAAGACGGAACTGGTTGCCCACTTCTGAGAATTCAGCCTCTGAAAACTTTATGGGCAGAATCTATAGAATGGTGCCATTTTTCATACTACTTGTATATAAATTTTTCTTTAATCCCACCTATACAAAGGGTCCTCAAAAAGTCTGAGAGAGAGGGGGCAGGAACAAACCTATTACTTTTTTTTTTCAAACCTATGACTTTTAATTCCATTTTCCACCCACAAAATTTTTGAAACACTCTCCCTTTTTCTAAGGTACAATTTATGTCTGCAAAAGCATCTAACATAAATTTAGAAGTCTGCTTCTGAATCAGCTGGGCAGAACATATAATACAGAGCCATAAAGCATTCATTTTCAGGGAGGCATTTCTTTGGGGACCCCGTAAACTTCGATACGATTCAAATCAGCTTTAAATTCAGTTATACTGTCTTCACTCACGGACATCCAGAAATGCAGTTGCCGCTGGGTCTTGGGTGTATAAGCAAATAGATCCTGGATCCTCTGAGAACAGCGGCTGCTCAGACTATTACAAGCATTTTCCTCCAGTGCCCACCATGCACAGTTAGACTGGTTGGTTTAGGCTGGGGCCCCTGGCACCCACAGGAGCTCAGCCTGGTACAGGCGTTTTTCATTTACATTTCTTAGTTTGCGTGTCGTGCTTGGTAAAGTGGAAGCAGCAAAAAATATATATATGTAGGAAGGCTCTCGATGAGATCAATTGACACAGTGGCTGCAACAATGGCCTCACACCTAAGCACACTTGTGAGGATGGTGCAGGACTGAGTGGCGTTTCATTCTGTTGTGCCCAGTGTAGCCATCAGTTGGAACTACACAACGGCAATAAACTCCCCCTTTAGGTTTCCAAGACTGTAACTCAACAGGAGTAGAAAGCCAAGTCTTTCTCCTAAGGAATGACTGCTAGCCTGTGGTTAGCAGCCCAATTCATAACCATTACAGCCTTCAGCATGGGAAGAAAGTGCAGAGAGGTGGGTCAGGAGAAGGAGGCAGAGAGTGGGTGTGAGGAAGGGATCTGGCTGCAGTCAATGTTGCTGCCCTCTGCTGGCCCAGCTCCTGGCACAGAGCTTCAGGAAGTGCAAGCGTGCATGTCCCATGCACACCCAGCCTCGCCCACACTGCCCCTCACCTCATCCTCTTTCCCGCTCTCACATTGCTGATGCCTCGCCTGCTCCCATCCTTGAGCCCCTGCTGCCCTTTGAGGGGCCCGCGTTGGGGGGCCGGCCCTGCTCAGGAAGGAGGAAGGTGGAGAAGAGCGTTCACCTGGAAATGTTTCTTGTTGGATGAGTTTTGGCCTTGACCTAACGTATATAGGCCACCCCAAGGGGAAGGGACATGAAAGCAGGTGGATTGCCAGGTCTCCAAAGGGGCCCCCTGTTCTCTGTGTGTGATTCAGGAGTTCTCTAGGGCAGCCACATTGGCTTGTTTTGTGCAGGCTTCTCCAGGGGTCCACGGAGGCTGTATTTGAGGGCTTCATATGCCCAAGGAGGGCCAGCCCCTAAAAAGAGGAAGTGGATTTGTTCTTATTGCCCCCAGGTGGAGAGAAGTGGAATCAAATAGGTCCCAAACAAAACCAAGCCCACTGGTGTGGCCAACTCAAATCAGACTCCCTGTGACCCCCTAAGACAGAGTAGAACTGCCCCATAGG